GGGTGACAGTGGAGACGAAAGCAGACGAGGGAAGATGGTTGGAGAGCAGGGAAGCAGGTGAAAGGAGAAAATTTAGAGAAGAAAAATGTTCAATCGCTGTTAACATAGGTTTCGAACCCTTGACCTTTAGAGCGAGAAGCGAACATCGTACCTCTAGACAATGAGAGCCCCCAAGGAAGGGAGTGATACAACATCCTAGCAAAAAGATAGGGGTACTCGATAAAAATTCTCCTCTCATGAGAAGCGAACTCAGGTTTTTTACATGCGACAGCGAAGAGCCTATCAGCTACAACGCAACCACTGGTGCAGCATTGTTTGAAATGATCTCCTAATACGTAACCCCCCCAACACACATACACACATAAGTACAATGACTTTTTTTCTGTTTCACTAAATGTTTGGTGAGAGGCGACGTTGGAAGATTAATAGCAAACTACGGTAGTTAAAACAAGTGACAGAGAGGCTGAACGTTTCTCTTGAGCCTACAATGTAATATTTCAAATCAATGCTTGTCAAACGTTTATGGCCAACGCCCACTTGTGTCACTTGTAAAGAGCTTAAATGATCACACCGTCTAACTACAAAGTTATATTTCCAAGCGAGGTATAAAAATCACACCTGTCACTACCTGGATGACACCACCACCCACCATAAAAATTCCCCAACCGTCCATTTCGGAGCACCGGGAAAATGCAAATCTATTATTACAACAGGGAAAATTCGTCTGGGGAACAGCGACTGTGCTGAGCGAATATAATATATAGATCTATGTGTTTTTGAACGTTGTGAACCAGTTCAGTTCAAGATCAGCTTTCGAGAGAAACTTTTTGACTGAATAGAAGATAGAAGAAATTTTCCCGCACTCATCTTGACCATTAATAATCTATTTATTGAGATAACAATGTAAAAATCGTTGCTTCGAAACATATCAATATTTTGATATATTATCAGTAAAAGAAAATAAAAACCTTGTAGCCGATGCAAATGTTGACAAAATAAGTTTGCGCTGTACTGTAATCCACAACCTTGCTAAAATGTTAAAAGATATTTATTCTTGTATTTACCCTATGGAAAAGTAATCGAGTTTACAAAATACAAGTTTTATTCATGGTTATGCCCCTTCCTAGGGTTCAAGCTTGCGGTTTGAAATGAATACCGGGTATAAAAAGGCAAAAATCGGGCAAACAACAACAACAACAAAAACAATTTATTGAGTCCTATGTTTGGTGGAGCATATGGAATATTTCCTCCTGGAAGGCTCCTATAAGAACACAGTAAATAACACCAAATAATTAATCTATAGTTTGTTCATCAATCATGTTTGGAGACAACTGCTGAGAAAATACATGGGGGCTCTCGTGGCCTAGAGGTTAAGGTGTTGGCCTCTCATTCAAAAGGTCCCGGGTTCGAATCCGTGTAGCGACCAAAAAAA